AAAAACATGTGGGTGTGCACGCAAACGTACTGAGGGCGTTGTCGTCGAGCAGGCACGCCTCGTCGAGGCAGTTGTCGGGACTCCCGCGCCACAGCGCCACTTTCACGTTGCGCGCGTCCACGAGCGCCTTGTTGCGCACCGTCACCGCCACCTCGACCACCTCGCCCTCGCGCGGCACCGCCGGCGTCGCCACCATCTCCTTGGTCAGCATCGTGCGGTCGCGCTTGAACGTGGCCCACCACCAGGGCAGGTTGAACGCCGGGTCGGCCTTGCTGTAGGTGCGCTCCCACCACGTCGACACGCCCGGGTAGTGGCCCGGCTCGGCCGTGTAGTCCACCTTAAGGTACCCGCGCCCGTCCGGCACGCGCGCCATCCACACGAAGGGCTGCACGCGGTAGGCGAACTCCGGGTTGATGGGCTCCACGTGGCACACCACCGACACGTCGCGCTCGATCTCGGCCGTTCGCGTTTGCGATGCCATGTCGTCGTCGCTCCTGTCCTTCGAGCCATGGCCTTGAGCGTGGATGTTGATGAGGTCGGGCGTCGAGAAGATCATGCCCACGCCCATGAACGACGCCATGAACTGCGATGTGATGTGGATTTGATGACAGCACACTGGTCAGCGCGTTGCACCAGGATCGCCAATGTATAGACACGCCAATAAAAGCCAATTTTCGGGTGCGTGTGCGTGGATGGGGCGCAAGGCAGTCAGACTGCCGACCTACCTTGGTGTGCAGGTCGACATTCACGCCCACCGAAAAGCTGTCGACGTGCGTGGTCGAGTTGTGTTCGCCCCCGACCTTGCTTTCTGATTTGCCGGTGCTCTGTGCCACCGATTGCTGTTGTTGTTGTTGTTGTTGTTGTTGTGTACATTCGGTGCCACACGAGAGTGAGTGTGAAGAAGAAGAAAGAAAAAAGAGGGCAAGCAGGAAAAGCGGACAAGTAAGAGTGCTGAGAGAGAGAGGAGAGAGGAGAGAGGAGAGAGGAGAGAGGAGAGAGGAGAGAGGAGAGAGGAGAGAGGAGAGAGGCGGACCTCGTGCTCGTTGGGGCCGAGAGTGACCTTCTCGCCCACCATGATGCGGTTGGCCGGGTTGAAGTCCTCGGGCGCGCGCGACGAGTAGGTGAGCACGTTGAAGGGCTCGTGGTCGGGCGTGAACCACCACAGGTCGCGCCCGTCGCCCTTCTGCACGCAGTCCTCGCCGCAGCTCGACGACGCCCAGATGTCCAGCGACCCGACCTGCACGCCGCTCTGGTCCACGATGGGGAACTTCCACAGGTCGCGCGTCGTCGACATGTACAGCACCACGTCATCGCCCGACGCCACCAGATCGCGCGACACCGAAATCTGCTCCATCGTCGACCAACCCAGCTCCTCCGCCCGCTTCTTCATCCCCTGCGCTTGCTCGGCCACGTTGGCCGCCACAGCCACCACCTTGGCCCTCGCGCTCGCCTGGCCAGCAGCAGCAGCACCACCACCACGATCACCACATGGTTGGGTTAGGTCAGCTAAGATTAAGTAAGAGTGGAGGTGGTGGGGCCAAACGCACTCCAGCGGTTTGGCCGTTGACGTGGACGAGGTCGCGCGAGATCTCGAACGACGACGTGACGCCCTCGGCGTTGGAGAGCCGCGTGAAGGAGCCGAAGCCGTTGAAGGTCATCGGGTTGACCACCACCTCCTTGCCGTCGACGATGTCAAAGTGCGTGGGCGGCGCGTTGATGACGGCGATGAGCTCCGGCACGCTCTCGAAGCGCACCTTGATCGACTGGCCCACGCGGTATCCCAGGCCGTACAGGTTGCCCACGCTCAGCGCCATGTTGTTGACCGTGGCGGCCTCCACCTCCTCGCCCTGCTGGTAGGCCGGTCCCGCGTAGCAGTGCCGCCCTGCGTTTATCATTGTGTTGTTGTTGTTGTTGTTGTGTGTGTGTGTGTGTGAGAGAGAGAGAGAGAGAGAGAGAGAGAGAGCAGAGAGAGCAGAGAGAGCAGAGAGAGAGAGCGAAGGTAAGCTCAACGAACCGTTGAGAAGGAATGGTCGATCGGGGTCGGGCTGCGCCGTGAGGCTGGTCAGCATGACCTTGTGCACCTCCGAGGCCATCGTGGACGAGTACTCAAACGCCACCAGCAGCTCGTTGGCGTAGCTCTCGTCCACGTTGCCTGGTTCATTAGCCATCGTTATGTTATTGGTGGTGGCTGGTGGCTGGTGGCTGGTGGCTGGTGGCTGGTGGCTGGTGGCTGGTGGCTGGTGGCTGGTGGCTGGTGGCTGGTGGCTGGTGGCTGGTGGCTGGTGGCTGGTGGCTGGTGGCTGGTGGCTGGTGGCTGGTGGCTGGTGGCTGGTGGCTGGTGGCTGGTGGCTGGTGGCTGGTGGCTGGTGGCTGGTGGCTGGTGGCTGGTGGCTGGTGGCTGGTGGCTGGTGGCTGGTGGCTGGTGGCTGGTGGCTGGTGGCTGGTGGCTGGTGGCTGGTGGCTGGTGGCTGGTGGCTGGTGGCCGTGGGCCAAAGGGAGCAGACCAGCAGGCCCTCCTCACAACCGAAGCACGGAGAGAGCCATAGAGCACAGCGAAAGAGAAAGAGAGGGGGGGTACCAATAGCAAGCGTGATCTCGGGACTCCTCGTGGTGGTCATCGCCGGGGTGGAATCATGCGGGACCGTGGGTCCGCTGGGCAGCGTGAAGGCAAAGTTGCCCACCAGGTCGAGACACTCCAGCCGGAAGCACGTCGCGCTGTCCACGCGGAACACCTCGGCTTGGCTGCCGCTGCCCGCCGTCGCGCTGGTGAACGCCACCACGATCTCGTCGTCGCCGTCGTTGTTCATGTCGCCCGACACCATCCGCAAGCTGTGTGCCACAAGTGTGTGCCAAGTGTGTGTCGTGTGCCGTGTGTCGTGAGAGTGACATCAGCGACAGCCGTATGGTGGAGGTCGTGGTGGGTGGGGGTGGGTGGGTGGGTGGGTGGATGGGCGTACTTGTATTGGGCAGTGTCCCACCAGGGCGCCTCGGCGATGAGCAGCGTCCTCTGGAGCGTCATGTTCAAGGCCACCGTGAGCTGGTCGATGGCGTAGAGGTAGAGCGTGACCTCGTTGTCGTCGACGATGCCCAGCGCCAGCTCGGCCAGGCCCGAGCCCTCGTAGTCGCCCAGGTTGACGGCCACGGCGTGCGGCTGCCGCAGCGAGACCAGCGAGTGCGGCTCGTCCGACACCATGGCCGCCGACGACTGCGACGTCTGGCGGAAGAGCGCCCACGAGACCGTGCTCCGATCGACCATCCACGCCACCGCCAGCTGTGGTGTATGCAACCCGGGTCGTGTGTCATTTGGTCGTTGTTGTTGTTGTTATTGGCCATTGGTCGCGTGCCGTGAAAAGCGGGAGAATCAACCAGCCCAGAGCGCGGCTGGAGCGGGTGGGAGCGGGTGGGGGTCGTACCATGGAGGGTAGAGAGTTGACCTTGGCTGCGGCCAGCGAGTAGCCGAACCCGGCCGCGTCCAGCCGGCTCCCGCTCTCCACACCCGCCGTCGTCGCCGCCGCGCCCGTGAGCATGATCGGGTATCTCGGGCTCCCCGGCACCGCCACCTCGACCGCCGTGGCGAACAGGCTCCGCAGCTTCTCGCTCTCCGCAAAGCACCCCAGGCATGGCTGCAGGTCCTGCAGGCTGGCCTTGGCCACGCCGCTGCCCCACACGGCCGTCGACTCCATGCGCAGGTCCCATATGAACACGCGCAGCGCGCCGCCGCCGCTGGCGTCGACGAAGCCAAAGGCCAGCTCGGGGTAGCCGTCGT